AATGCCCAGCTCATCATACGACGAGAAAAGGATCGGTGTCATATCCACAATCCTCTTCTCGTCATATGATAAGCTGATCAGGCACGTGGCGGTCTTTATTCAAGCAACAACCGGTTAATGCAGAAAGAGGGACGAAGATCTTCCCTGGGTCTGGCCTTGACATGAGAACCCATTCATTCCCTTAATCAATGGCTCAGATCGGAAGAGAGACCAATGGCACTCTCTGGTTTTTACAGTGAAATACAGTATTTTTAATCATTTTGTGCTACAATGATTACATACAACATGGTTTCTGTGCCCTTCCCCCTTGTCTATACAACCAATCCTATGAAACACCTGATCAATGTTGAACCGTCCTGGGTTCCCTTAGTTTTCATTATGCCTAACAGGCATTGTAATCTCTAGGCCATGGGATCTTTCTGTGTAACCTATTAATGCGGATTCAAAAGTTACTGGAGGTACTCCTTCAGATATATCCCTGACTTGCCTATCTCTAAGGACTGCTTGAATTCAGTTGTTCGTTGTATTCCACTTGCTATCTTTTTCATTTTATCAAATCCTTTCAGTACTCATATAAAAAAAATTGGTCTGTTAAAAGATTTGTAATATTAGTTTCTATTAGAAAGTTGGCTATATGTAAAGTTTTATAATTACTTCTACTATTACTAATGAGACGATATGCCAAGCATCTGTTTAATGTTTTCCCCTAATGCTTTTATTATACTTCGGTTATATATATGTGTCTGTAATTATGTTGAAATCTATCTCTGTGATTGAAGAATCTTTAACTAGAACCTATTTCTTAATATTGTAAATAGTTTCAAAGAAACAGCTAATTTCTGCAAGATAACTTTAGCTGCTGTTTTCATGGCTGCGTGATGCTTAACTAATGCTGTTCACCTCATGGGACAACATCCTTTCATTAATGAGACGGGAATTAATTACTTATTGTAGTTTAATGATCCTTCAAAGTTTCTTTTACGAGCCACAATCCCATTATTTCATCTGTGTTTGTTACAAATCTTCAAACTGTTTATCCTTGAACATTTCCTTACCAAGGCTGTCTCAGTACTCCTTGTAACTGTTGTTCAGACAATGCTCCCCTTTGCCTCTGAATAACCCCTTCTCAAAGGCATTATTATTTCACTTAAACTCTGGAGCAGGCTTTTAATTCTGTTTTAATCAGTTTGTTAACAGCAACCATTAGTCAACCATTTTGTGTCTAAATGCTGAGGCAGTCTTTTTTAAATTTTGGCCGTTTTGTGTCTTTCAAGTATGGGCAACTCCAACAGTAGGTGTTCCTGTTTTTCCAATCTTTGTGTAGTACTATAAATGTAATGCAAGCAATTGTAATCTATAATTCTGTCCACATACATATTGCTTGAATTTATTTTCTGCTTCAATTTAACAACTAATTTTCATTTGTTTTAATTTACCAATATAACTAGTTCCACTGATTTCTTCTGTATCCAGGTTATTAACGAAAATTAGAAATACTTCTTAATACTGAACACTGGGATATTAAGCACTGCACAGGTTTCATCTGCTGTTTTTTAACGACTGGAAATACCCAGCATTTTGTACCCTTTTTTAACCATTCCCAAAACATATGCTAAATTCTTGCTGCCTTCAACATAATTAATAATGTTTTATCTAGACATTTGTTAGATTTTTGTTTTGCCGGAGGTCCCAGTGTTATGAATGGGTTCCATTCCTGAGTGTGCTTGTAAGGTGATTTGTGCTCAAGCTGTAACACAATGCAGTACAATTTAAAATATCTGTTCCTAAGTATGAGTGAACATTTGCATGTTGGATGCTTAAAATTACTAGTAACATCAAATCTCATTCGTGAATACAAGCGTTCATAAGTAGGACAATTGTAAGTCAGGGAATCCCTGTATATCATGTGGTTAGGTTTTTCACAGGTCATTTAGATTGTCACTTACTGAAAATAGTAAAGGATTCTGAATTAAGCTAATTGCTATTTACAGGTAAGCAAGATTTCTTCTAATAATTTCAGAATTTTACACAGCTTTGAAGTCATAACAATGAGTTTAATTGTATAAGTTAGGTCTATTTTGTCACCCTTTCTTTTATATAGACCACGTTTTCAGTGTGCTATGCTAGTTCGTGTCCAGTGCCCAATGATCGTCTTGTTCATTACCAATGCCCCAGAGATCTTTACTCTAGTTTATTTCATAAGTTTGGGATAAGCTAATGTTAAATATTGATTTATTTTGAGGCTCTCTATTTCACCTTGGACTTGAATTTCATTTATATCTATCATTAGTTGTTGATATCTGCGATGGGTGTTACTTGTCTTTATTTATGAACATTGAAGAAAGTAGCAAATCAAAATTTTTCTATCTTTACTAAATTTGCGACATGTCTGCCTCTTTCATGGATTCTAGTTTTTCTCCAATCTCCTCTTTTTCTTTGAGAAGCCTGCTGCAATTAACTACTCTAGTTTGGTTATTTCTGTGATGCGCCTAATTTTGGAAAGAAGTTTTGACTTCCATTACCCTATACCAATGGGCAAAGTAGCAGCAGTCAGGTCAACAAATTCCATTGTGAGCTGGACCTCTATACTGTAATCACACATGCTGCTGTAAGCTTTCCACTGAGATATTGTGTTATTTCCAAGGTGTTCTGTTCAGGTAATAATCTTTTTTTTTAATGTTAGACAAATTGTTTAAAGAAACCCATGTGTGATGAAAATCACTAAGATCAGTTTAATATCCATTTATGACAGTCGCAAAAATAAAGAAGCATGTGGCTAAGGTACTATATAAATGTGAGTCTTTATTTTCCTTTTAATTATTTAGAAGCTGTGCAAAGCATGTGTCAGTCTGCATTTACAGTACTGCTGGACTGGGACTCTAGAACAACAAACCATTTCTTGAACAAGAATCTACTCAAAATACATCATGACATTGCACATATTGGAGTCCTATTCTTGAGTGGAGAAATAGTCACAAAATCCTACTTGTGACAAAATAGATGTACTGTTTTTTTTGCTTTCTAGGTGTCCTTGCCACCTAATTATCTTTTAAACTTGTTTTTAGATGTTTTTGTATTTGTCCCAAGGAACCTTTTCACCCAGAAGCATTTGCAAATTACTTTTTTCCTCTTCATTTCACTTTTTGTTAATCCAATTGGGTTCAAGCTGGTTTAGTTTGATCTTGTTGATTTGAAGTATATATTTTGTCTGCATTCTCAACATTATCCATTAATGTTATTTCACTACAGCTGAAGTGTTGCTGAACACCCTTTTCCAATCCATTTACTTTACTTCATCTGATTTCATTAAATTGCTCCTCATTTCAATAAATGTAACCCTTTTAAACTTGTATCTGGCTTTTCTCCTTTTTATATCTAAATCTCTTGTAACTGTCTATTTTGTGTAAACTGTTAAGACCATTCATAAATATAAAGTTAAAGAGAGTTGATTCTCCTGGTATCTTGACTCACTAAGTCGTGAAGTAGTCACACAGTGCATTTACCAACTCTGACTCAGTGCTGTTTGGGATTTTCCTGATTATATTTAGTTGAGTTGTAATCTTTTTTTCTTGCATAGTACTTTATTTCTTTAATAAGTCCAGTTCCTTACATTGACTTATTTGTCTGTAGCATGCCGTAGTGTCAGTATGATTTTCTTTTTCATGTTTCAGATGTCTAACCAAGGTGGTTAGCTTTGTTGCTGCTCACCCTTGCACAGGCTGAATTACATTTAACTTCCCAATACTTTGGCATACAAGGTTACATCTTTGCTTTTTCTGTCTACAATGTGTCTGGAAGTTAATGCCATCCTCTGGATTTAGCTATTTTTCTGATATTCCCACTACAAAATAGTTCTTATCAAGGTTCCAGTATCTTTAATTATAATGCTTTCATCTTTTTGTAGGTTGACTGAAATTTATTCCCTAGTGTCTAATTATTTTGATCTTAGACTTCATTGTATTTGTGAAAGTCTAGATTTATACATAATTCCCAACTTTTGACCCCATATCTGTTCTGTCACAAAGTCTGCCTACTTCTAGTTCTGTGACATCAATTTGACTGAAAACAAAAATACTAGAATACTACAGGCAGCATCAGTTTTTGTTTTCAGTACAGATTTCAGCATCTGCAGTAATTTGCTCCTGTAACATCAATTTCCTTGTCTCATCTGACAAAGCTTTCATTTATCCCTTTATGACTTCCAGATGTGACTGTCCATTACACCCCTGGCTTCCCTCCCATCTTTCTCCTTTTGGAAACTTTTAATTGATCCAAAATTTCACTCCCTGTACGTTATCTTGCGTCATCTCATTTATCATTCCATTTGTTTGCTGATCAACTTTGGCTCCTAGTACTCCAGTGCCTCCATTTGGAAACCTTAACATTTAGATCTCAGAAGGCCTGTAATCCTGCAAGGAAATCTTTGCTCCTCTGATTCTGTGCGTTTGTGCATCCGTGCATTCAATACACATTGGATGACTGTGCTGCTAGCTCCCTGATACCTAGCACTCTGAAATCTGCACCCAAACCCCACTTCTACATTGTGTTTCATCCTGAAACACACGCCATGATCTTTACCTGCTGGGCCTGCAGTCACCCGTCAGTCATCGTAAAGCACCACAATCTGTCTGAATCCATGAGTTTTTGTGTCTTCATTGTAACAGAATACATCTGGATGCTAAGGGATCAGGAAAGACTTTTATCTACTATTTCACACTGTTGCAAACTCAAGAAAATGACAGGGGAAAAGCAGGGGATTTAAAAATGATGAACCACAGTTTCCAGATTGGTGGTATATTTCATCTCCTGTATTTAACTTCCTCTGCTTGTAAGTCAGTTAATTAGTTTCTGCTAGGATTTTAAACAAAAAGGAAAATTGATCTATTTTAGGAATGTGTTTTTTCTAGTAATTGTAGTCCTTATTTTTATTGTACATTTTATGATAACTTCAAGGTAGATTGTTAATCACATATTACGTTTCTTTGTTCCCCAAAGGCCACTGTTTACACAGACAATCTGCCCAAGTGAAAACAGACAAGGACAGCTTAAGGGAATGGAGTGAGGTAAGATTAAAATATACTGAAGAAGTTTTTTGTCATTTAACTGTATCAAGATTTGGATGATTTAGGAATTTTGTTTATTGTACCAATCTCTCAAAATCTCCTTGCATCTGTCCCCTTCAGTATATTATTATAGCTTCATTTTGCATTAAGACTGAATAAAATAAATCGTCTTCTTTCAAAGCGAAATGACAGTTCATCTAAATTGAAATCAAACCAAGTGATTAAGTGGCAACCTGTATTTTAGGATTGTGAGATAGTTTATCTGAACAGCATTTTGCTACCGAATGGAATGCTGACAGCTTAAGCGAGTACATTTGGAAGACATAGTAACTGTAAAATTTAAATGTTGGTGTGTTTGAGGTCCATCTATTTTAATTGTATTGTGATTTTGATTTCTCTGGTGTGAGTGGTTTACCTTTACATTTCTTTCTGTCTCTTGCAGATGCTGTAATTCCTAAAGCCATCATATGTGAGGGTGTCCCAGTATATTTCAATCTTCTGTAATTAAAAACAAAGTGCTGGAAAAACTTTGCAGGTCAGACAGCATTTGCTAGGGGAGAGAAACTGAGTTAGCATTTCAGGTCAGTGATCCCTCATCAGAACAGGAAAAAGTTAAGGATATAACAGTTTATAAGCAAGCAGGTGGGTGGAGTAGGGTGAGAAGGACGCAAGGGAAGGTCTCTGATTGCATCGAGAGCAAGAATGACCAAATAACGGAAGGAGTGATGATTAAAGACAGCGGGAAATGCTAGGGGGCAATAATAAATAAAAGTTTACCCAGTGTAGGTTTAAAGGCAATGGTATTACTGAGCCACTATCAGGATGTGTTTAAAAAATGGAAGTTGTAGTTATGAGCAGAAGTTGTTGAACTCCTTGGTTGAAGATGGTAGGTGAAATGCCTCAACAAAAGATGTGGTACTATTCCTTGAAGCTGTACTGAGTTTCATTTAAACAATGATAGAGGCCAGAACAGGATGAAGAATGCAAGCGGCAAGTGACCAGAATGCATGTCTCTGGCGTTGAATCTCCTGTTTTACTTGGGATGGTACTGAGAGAGGAGAATGAATATTGGAGTAATTGAAGAAGAATCGAGGATGCTTTGGAGGGAATGGTGCTTAAGCAGTGCTTAAAAGATGGGGAGGTGAAAATTGTGACATTGCTGTGAATCTTGGTATTTAAAAAGGTTAATTAAATTAAGAGGCTGATGGAGTGCGCAATGAGGACAAAGGGAATCCTACTGTCATTTTGTGAGGTGGACAGAACGAATAAGGGTTTCATTATAGGATAAATTGGATGAACAAAGTCTGATTCATCAAGTAGAAGAGAAGCTTTCAATCAGGAAAATTGAAGCAGCAAGGTCAAGTATTAAAATGGATGTGACTGAAGTGGAGAAACTAGGAGAATGGAGTAGAACACTTACAGAACGTGAGGTAGATGGAAGTGTAATCAAGATAGCTTGTATATTGCAAATCAGTGAGCTTATAATAGATATTGATAACAGCCAATCCTGATTTGCAGGCTCTGAATAACATTTTACTATGTTCTATATCTATACTATGTGAATTATGGATACTTCTTTCTTTCTTCAGTATCTGGTCTGCACTATGGTTATTCTTAATTTGGCATATTTAGCAACTATGAAATGAAGATAGAATGAATGTCAATTATCTGTATTTGTCTTTGATGCTAGCTTCACTGTAACATTCTGGTCTTAATTATTTACCTGTAAAGTAAACAATTTTCTCTTCATTGCCATCACCTACATTCTAAAGTATAAATCTGCATGCTAGCCTCCATTGTGCAAAACTGACTTAAACCACCTCCACATCTGACTGAACCACGTGACTCTGTGAAGAATTTTCCCTTATTTCCTGCACTACTGATCATTTCCTGACTGACTATTTGAGCTGCAGCACTAGGGAGAGCACACCCTGCACGTGTCCAGAAGCAGTGTTACTCTCAGTTAATCAATCCATGATAGTTTAAAGTGGGAGATGCCTTTTTAATTTATTGCTGCAGGGTGGCACAGTGGTTAGCACTGCTGCCTCACCGCATCAGGGACTTGGGTTCGATTCCATCTTTGCAACTGTGTGGAGTTTGCATGTTCTCCCTGTGTCTGTGTGAGTTTCCACCAGGTACTCCAGGTTTCTCCCACAGTCCAAAGATTTGCACATTAGGTGGATTGGCTATGTGAAATTAACCGTGGTGTTTAGGGATGTGGAGGTTAGATGCGCTAGCCATGGGAATTACAGGGTTAATGGGATAGGGAGGGGGATGGGTCTGGGTGGGATACTCTTTGGAGGGTCGGTGTGGACTTGTTGGGCTAAATAGCCTGCTTCCACCCTCTATGGATTCTATGTAGACAGACATCCTGAATTTCAGATGAAAGCTGAACTAACAAGTAAATTAAAATAGAATCATTTTAGGATTGTCTGTTGCCTAAAGCATTCACATTATTATTAAAATTCTCATTGGAAATATATACGGTCTGCTTTTTTAATAGGACTTTTTGCAGATTCTTTCAAAAAGACTTTGAGGAACGTCACAATATATGGGTTTCCTCCATCTTCATTGACTTTCACAATTTTCTATAAATTAATATGTTTTTTGGATTTTCGTGAAGCCTCTGGGCACACTTAGCAATGTTCCTAGCACAATGGCCTTTATTGTCTCCAATTCTTTGGTATTTTGAATATTAAATCAATTAATAGTTGAAGGATCAATAACATGGGCATTATTTTAAAGTGGAAGACAGGATGTTTAGAGGGGATTTGAAGAAAAACTTTTTCACCGAGAGGGTGGTGGGGATCTGAAATGCACTGCCTGGGAGGATCGTTGAGGTGGGAAACCTCACAATCTTTAAAACGTACTTGGATGAGCACTTGAAATGTCAAAACATTCAAGGCCATGGGCTGAGTGCAGGTGGTACCGAATTTTTGGTGGTACAAATGGCCCCTTCTCTCCTATGTGATTCTATGATTCTAAGAGTTAAGGAATAAACACCATTACGCTTTTAAAAATCATTGCCCAATGTGTGATTCCAAAACACAGTTGTGGGATTAACAACCCTAGTAACAACCAACTGACTGAGATGGGAATTGCCTCCACAAAGTCTATCCAACTTGCTCAGTCGTGTTTCATAAAACTGCATAAAAATTAATGAAATCACTCATGCCATTCTGTACGTCTGTGATACATTGTAAATTCTACAAGTTTATCCTGATAATAAAGCAAAAACTGAAATGACATTTGCTGCTCTGCAGCCAGCCAGCACCATGGATGTTCCTGCTGTTGAACAGAAAGAGTTCACGGTCAGTTACACATGGACTGGCAACAGCAGTGCTGGCATGTGTAGTTGTTTCTCTCACGTTTCTAGTCAGTGGCAGGAGTTACTGCTCCTTAAATGTTTTTGCCTTGAACAAATTGTAGGAGCTTATGAACTTCTCTGTAGACATTCAGACTATCTGTCAACCTGTCTCTTCTGCTTCCATCCTTTCCAGTGAGCCACCAAACCAAACTTCCACCTCAATCTTGCACTTGCCGGAAGCTCTAAATCTGTATCCTCTATAGGTTTTCTCCCCTAGTGTCATTGAGCCCATCTCATTGATGATCTGACTTGATGCTCCCTTGACCCTCATTCCACTAAATTGCTGACCACTGAACCTTGTGTCTGACTGACATTGTAAGTTGCCCCCTCTCCTCATCACTGTCTCTATCCTTTCCAAAGTCATCATCTCTATCTTCAAAAAATACTGTCTTGGCCCCTCTCTGCTTCCAGACTGTCACCCATTTCTAATTTCCCTCTCCTCTCCAAAATCCTTGAATATGTGGTCATCTCTTGCACCAATTCATATGAATCTCTGTGTCAGGTTTCTATCCACTCACAGCAGAACAATGGGCTAACAAAAGTCATAAACTATATCCTCTGTGACTGCAACCATGATGCACTATCTAAATACATGTTGCTGAAAATGAAAACAGAAATGTGATCCCAGAATTGAGCATGGTGGCTCAGTGGTTGGGGCGGCATGGTGGCTGAGTGGTTAGCACTGCTGCCACACAGCGCCAGGGACCCAAGTTCGATTTCAGCCTTGGGTGACTGTCTGTGTGGAGTTTACACATTCTCCCTGTGTCTGTGTGGGTTTCCTCTGGGTTCTCTGGTTTCCTTTCATGGTCCAAAGATGTGCAAGTTAGGTGGATTGGCTATGCTAAATTGCCCATAGTGTCTAGGGTGGAAAATGCAAGTATAGGATAAGGGATTGGGTCTGGTTGGGCTGCTCTTCAGGGGGTTGGTGTGGACTCAATGGGCCAAATGGCCTGCTTCCACTATAGGGACTTTAGGATGACCACATTTGAAGTGACAAAATATTTTAGGTTAACTACACAGTATATATCAAGCATGGGTTGTAAGGTATCCTGTTTCACTTTTCCAAGGCCCTATATTTGTTCTGTCTAAGAAGTGTTCTGGGAAGGCTCAGGATTATAAGTGACCATAATTTTGGAAGAGCTACTTCTATGTTTGCTGAGATGACTGGCAGGTGTGCGAATGCTTGTCTTAAAGCACATGGGCTAGTTCAGCTCTTGCTGCTAATTGTAAAAACGTGTGCCCTGCTGCTGATTTTTGCATTAAATATACAGTAAATCCTTTATATCTGTGAGTTCATGACTTGTGAATTTGCCTATCCACATTAAAAAGTAAGAAGCAACAAAATTCAACATTGACGGCAAAACCCACATATCCGCAATTTTTAATCTGTATTTTTAATGGGCTCTGCATTTGTAAATTTTCATAATTTGTGGGGTTTCTCAGAAACTGAATCCTTGCGGATACAGAGGAATGACTGTACAAATGAATCTCCACTTAAACATCTCTCAACCAAAAGAAATTATTCTTGACCTGGGATTAAATACTGAGGGTTCTTGAATGTATTTCTGTGAGCCACTTAAAATACCAGGCTCCAAAAGAGATTTCCTCAAATGAGAAAGAAATCTGGTCACAGTTTATCTGCAGGCCAGGGACACTACATCAATAAAAGCAAATATTCGGACCTGCTCCATTGCCAGCAGAGCTAAAATGTCTTTACAAATGCAGTCAAATCAGCATGGTATGGAAACTGCTCTTCTCAAAAACCGCAAGCTACAGAGTCATGAGTTCCACCTCGACCATCACAAAACCAGCCTTTTATCCATCGACCCCAGCTATACTTCCTGCTGCCTCGGGAAAGCAACCAATCAACCCAGCTCTTACACTCTCTTCCACCCTCTTCCGTCGGGCAGAAGATATACAAGTTTGAATAGATGTACGAACAGATTCAAGAACAGTTTCTTCCCCGCTGTTATCAGATTTTCAAACAGACCTCTCAAATGTTAAAGCAGATCTCCCTCCGTCTCTGCACTTTTTCTCTATGGTTGTAACACTGTATTCTGCACTTTGTTCTGCTATCTTGATGCATTTTGTATGGTACAATCTGCCAGCATAGCACACAAAACAACACTTTTCACTGTTTCTCAGTACATGTGACAACAATAAATCAAATAAAATCAATAAAGTTTAATGTGTCAAAGTGCTCCTCACACAGGCAACTTTTTATCAAAATATACTGTAGATTCGCAAATGTATCTTTTTAAGAACAGAATAAAATGTATTACCAAATCTGTTGCTCAAGTAGCTTCTTTGTTTTATAGGTAGTTGATTTAAACAAAGCTGACCAAAATGTGTTAATGGACTTTGATGAAAAACATGATCAATATCTGATACTCCTTCAATGCAGAAACAGGTAACATGTGGGTGTTTTTCATCCTGACTCCTTTATTTCCTTAAATGCATTTGGGTATTTTAATTCATTAGAAAAATAGAATGAAATTGTTGAATATGAAGGTGTCACTTTGTCATGCTTTTTAAGCAGGTTCTGAATGTTTGCAATGAGATTGTGCTATCTCCTTAATCACCATGTCAGATTTCTCAATCCTACTACCAATGCTATTTGATCATACCTTTCTTGTAGTCCAACTTTTTAATGAAATTTAGCTGAACTAAAAGTGAATGTCGCTTTCCTGTTTTTTGCCCTATTTTAAGTTTAAGGAAGGGAAAACTGTTTTGGGTTATAATTTTTGCTGTGTGAGACAGCTCCACCTTTAATCTTACGTATAGCATTCAAGCAGTCTCTGAGTGCTTTTCTATCCCTATCCCTTTAAGGGTTGATACTTTCAGAAAATAAAGCAAAATATTGGCATTGAAATGTAAAATAAAAACAAAAAAACTGGCAATTCCTCGACTTTGAAATGAAGAATAAAGATTTAAATTCTTCTTGTACACATGTTGATCACTATGCAGATATCCAAAATTAGTCTTGAAGTAGTAAAAACCAAAAGAATTGCAGATGCTGAAAATCAGAAACAGAAACAGAAAAGCTCATCAGGTTTAGCAACATCTGTGGAGAGAAATCAGAGTTAATGTTTTGAGTTCAGTGACCCTTCCTCAGAACAGTGCCTCCTAAATCTATTCCAATTGTGGCCCCATTTTGGTGCGTGAAATTTGCTGAGAGTGGTGGTGGGTGAGGTGTGTAAGGGAGATTTTCAGACCTGTGAGAACAGAAGGATGGAATCAGGAGGGGTGATGCATGGTGGGTATGAGAGGGTGTGAGAGAGGAGAGTTTGGGGAAGGGGTGGTAGTTCCTGGTTAGTCTGCTGGTTTTAAATAAAATGCACCTATTGTTTGTGGGTTTGCAAGACAGCAGTCAGGCCTCAGGGTCCAAAGCCAGTATTTAAAAATCTCCGATGATTTGAAGGGCCCACGCAACTGTTTCTATTTGGTCAGAGCTGCATGGCAGCCATTTCTGCCTCAGAGCTCATGACCCCAAAATTTCGACATCTGGCCTCATTGGTGCCATGACCCACAATTTGGTTTGGGAAGCCCTATCTCAAAGGGTTATTTTTAGTTTTAAAAATACTTAATTAATTAATTGATCCAAATTAACAGGTTTCATCTTTGCAATTTTTTTCTCTATTCTGAAAGGTCTTTTTGTCAAAAACCATGACCTGCAATTCTGATCAACCTGTGACTCTCAGCTTCATTTTGCCCGCTTATTTCCACTGTGATCCTTGTCATTGGAATTAATTTCTTTCCAGTTGAGTAGCAGTTCAGAGCAGAAAAGAAAATAGTTTCCTCTAATTAAAGTCATGGAGATTGCACAGAAAAAGGCAGTTGGCTTATTGTGTATGCACCAGTCAAAAGCAAGCACCTAACTATTCTAATCCTATCTTCCAGCATTTGGCCCATAGCATCCTATGCCTTGACATCAGAAGTACACATCTAAATACTTCTTAAATGTTATGAGGATTTCTTCCTCTGTCACCCTTACAAGCAGTGAGTTCCAGATTTCCACAACTCTGTGGGGTGCAAAAGGTTTTTGTCATACGTCCTGTAAACCTTCTGCCCCCTTAACTTAAATGTATGCTCCCTGTACATTGATCCCTCCGTCAGGGAGAAAGTTCATTCCAAAACCCTACCTTCCTATCTACCCTATCCATGTCCATCATCTCATTCATGTCCCCTTTCAAACTCCACTGAGGAAAACAACTCCAGTCTGTCCAATCTCTCTTCTTAACTGAAATTCTCCAGCACAGGCAACATCCTGGTAAATTTCCTCTGACCCTTTTCAGGGCTAAAATGTGGATTCCAGAACTGCACATAGCATTCGAGCTGTGGCCTAACCAACTGGCCTAACTGGATATATTTCAAGCATAACCTCCCTGCTCTTCACCTCTATGGCTTGGCTAATAAAGGCAAGTATACCATATGCTGCCTTAACCACTTTATCAACCTGCCCTAAGAACTTCAGGAACCATTGTGCATGAGTCCTACTGGTCATCATGTATTCCTTTGCCTTGTTTGTCCTGCCAAAGTGCATAACCCTCGCATATCATTTGCTACTGATCGCTCATCTGACCAGCCCAACTATGTCCTCCTGTAATCTAAGACGATCCTCTGCACTCTTTACCACCCCACCAATTTTTACACTGTCTGTGAACTTTCCGATTGTTTACTACGTTTACACACCTACAACATAGTTCAGCATTTTCACATGCTTTGTGGGTTCTGATAAGTCAGATTGTCAGAAATAGCAGATGGTTTTCTGCTTTGGGTCTGTGCCTATTTGGAACTGAGTAAAGTATTAGCATTTTCCTGTTTAGCTTGAATCGCCAATCTGTGTTTTTTTTTGTTGCCTCAGAATCTATATCTTTTGTGTCAGTGATCAAATGTTATTTGACATATATAAGATTTGATACATTGCAGTATCTGAAGTTGTTCACTTGTGAGTTATATTACCCACCCGTGCTTTGCGTAGAAGCCACCATAACAAGTGCCTTTATCCCCTGACTTGAACTGCAGTTCATCCTCGGAATGTCTCTTGAAGTCTTCTACACCTTCTCTCTGTTTAGATCCTATTTTTATAATAGAAAAACCGCACAATTTTGTGAGACTCCTGACTGACATATAGTCATTACCTTTATGTTTAGTCGTAGGGCTAGAATGTACGTTAATTGCTTAACGTATTTGCTGGAATTGTTATCAATGTTGTTGTACCAGTACAGAGTGGCATTTTTATACCAGCCTTGATGGTCCTGAATGAATCTAGCTGTCGATGACCCTCCCACCGCCTCTTCTCTGCCCCATAAGCATGCTATCTTGAACCAATCCTCCCTTATTTTGTAACACATTACAGTTTAGGATTGTATTACCACAGGAATGCTATTGTCTCTCCTTTCCATTCTTATATTTATTCTGTTTATATTTTCATCAAATTAGCTGTATAACCATGACCCAAATGTCTCATTCCACCTGAGTTAAAGCAGTGACTACACTTCAAAAGTATATATTGGATTTAAAGTGTTTTATGATGTCTGATGGTTATGAAAAATGCAGTATAAACACAAGTTTACCTTTCTGATTACTCCTCATTAGTGCTATCCACATCTGTGCTGCACAACAGTTTCTTTAGTCAAGGTAAAAGTAAAATTAAACAAAGTGTTTACAGAGATATTCTTGAGATTACATGGTGGTAGTATTCCAACAAATATATTTCCTAATTAAGCATTAATCCTAATAAGAGGACCCATATACCCCACCACTCAAATAATTTTGGGACTCATTGGTGTTGAAACATTTCCATATCTGCAACTCAGGTTAATTATAAGCAACATTATTTGTTGAATCAAAATATTATGATATTTCTCTATTGGGAAAATTATGCCTTCTCTGAATTGATATGCAGATTTTATTCAGTCTTCAGTTACAGTATGAAAAGACTAAAGTACCCGGGTATTGGCTTGTATTCCATAGTCCAGTAATCTTATGAATATTGTATTGGAATTTTACTGGAAACTCATTATACTATTTGGTTAGATACAGCTCGGTACTGTGAAAAGTGTGCAAAATATAATTATTTCTGATACTAATATTATATAACTTATGCATTTATGAGGTGTGATCAGTAAAATAGTTGATTTTCCAAATTAAAATTAACCAGAGTGCTAATTTTATTTAGGGTATTGAAAAGATTAAAGGCAAAAGATCCTAAAAAGATACAACTAGAACGGTTAGAGCAAGGATTTTCCGTCTATGTAAATGGCGCCAACTCTGAATTAAAGAGACAACCAAGATTTGAAGCAACTTCAAGATCAGTGCGGACAGCTGGTGCGTATTGGCAACAAGTTCTTGTGTTGACCAAGGGAATAAAATACATCCTTTCATCAACAGACGTGATATCATTCTGTTGTCTTTACAGAATAAAGTAGAATATCATTCTTTGTCATTAAAAAAGAAGCTTCAGTCATAAGATGTATACATAGAAGTCTTTTTATTTATTTCATGTTCCCACTACTCTTTGGATTTTAAAAAAGTTCCTCAATTCCCTTTGGAATTCTTAATAACTATCTTATATTGATAGCATCTAGGTATGCTCTTTCCCACAAAAGGAAACATTCCCTATTTATCATTTTTATTAAAACCTTTCATAATTTTAAAGACCTCGATAGGTCATCTTTTGTTCATTTTCTTTCAAGAATAAAGAGACCCAGCATGTTTGTCCTTCCCTAATAGGTATACGCGTACATTTCTAGCATCATCCTTGTGAATATTCTTACACACCCTTTCTAGTGCTTCTATATTCTGTTAATAATATAGCAAACAGAACTGGAAGCTATAACTGCAAACTATGGCCTAAACTGAAAGGTCTGTAATAACCTCCTTCTCTTCAATTATATTCTACAGTTCTATAAATAGATAATGATGGAGTTGTTTCATTTTTAATGTGTCCTTGCTGACTTGTGATACAATATTTCATGATCAATGTACTTGTACTCACAAAATCCCTTTGTCCATCTATCCCATCCAGACTCAGACCTCCTAATTAAGGAGCAACTTCCCTACCCTTCCTAACAATATCTACTATCACACAGTTCGGTTGAACTTAGTTTACCAATTACTTTCCCATTCTACAAATTCACTAATGAACTTATTTCAGTCCTGCTCAATGTTGACAACCACCCTAAGTTTTGTTTCACCTGTAAATTTAGAAATTGTGTTTATGGTTTCAAAGTCCAAATCGTTAATATTAGTTGTGATCAGAAATAGTCCCAGAACTGATCCCTATGGAACATCAGTCCCTACCCTCTACCACTGACCAATCTTTCACCACTGAAGAACCACCCTTTGCTCCCACTATCTGCATTCTGTCTTAACACAGACTAATTATCTATTCTGCCACTCGTCCTGATTCCACATTCTCTAACCATATTCATTAGTCTTTTATGGGGCACTTTACTAAAATTACATCAATGTTACCAATGCCTCTTATCAAGGAGGTTGGTTAACTAAGCCGGCTAGCTAGCTGGTTTGCAATGCAGTGTAATGCTATCAACATGGGTTGAATTCCCACACTGGCTGAAGTTACCATGAAGGATTTTTCTTCTCAACCTCTCCCTGAGGCCTGGTGATTAATAAGAGTGCAGCCCTGTGGTCCTGTAGGTCTATGGAGACTTTACATTTGAATCATAGAATCCCTACAGTGTGGAAACAGGCCATTTGGTCCAACAAGACCACACAGTTTCTGTCAATCTTTAAAAATTCACTAAGTTCTGCTCACCACGCTATAGAAAGGATGTGATTGCACTGGAGGGGTTACAAGGGAGATTCACCAAGATATTACCTGGGATGGAGCATTTCAGCGATGAAGAGAGACAGGATAAGCTCGTTTCAGAGATAGTAGGAACTGCAGATGCTGGAGGGTCTAGGCCCGAAATGTCAGCTTTCCTGCTCTTCTGATGCTGCTTGGCCTGCTGTGTTCATCCAGCTCTACACTTTGTTATCTCAAGATAAGCTTGGGTTGTTTTCTTTGGAGCAGAGAAGGTTAAGGGGGGGACTTGAAAGAGGGGCATAGGATTATGAGGAGCTTGATCAAGGTGAACAGAAAACAACTGTACCCCTTAGTCAAAAGAATCATTAACAAGGGGGCATCATTTTAAAGTGAAAGGCAGGAGGTTTAAAAGGTATTTCAGGAAAAACCTTTTCACCCAGAGGGTTGTGGTGTTCAGGAATGCAGTGCCTGGGAGGACAGTTGAAGCAGTTGACCTCACAATCTTTAAAACATACCTGGATGAACACTTGAAGTGTCATAGCATTAAAGGCTATGGGCCTAGTGCAGGAAAGTAGGACTAGTGTCAGTAGTAGTATATTTTTGGCGGTACAGACTTGATGGGTTCCGGACTGTATGATTTTATTGTTCTATGGAGTTTGGTCAAGCAAGATTTTCCCTTTTGAAATCCATGTTGACAATTCATTGTCACACAATTTGTTCCTAGCTGCTAATTTATTCTATTTTTTTGTAGAAACTCATCAATTTTCCTGCCTCTGATATTAAATTGACTAATTTATTATTCCCTGGACATGTTCGATCCTCAGGTTCTATAAATTATCATTCTGTTTCAAAAATACTGAAGCAAAACAACATTCAAAAAGCACTACTTATAATTTAACATCTGAATATGTCATGCAAGGAGAAAGCACTTGGCACTGACAATAGTAAAGAAGTCAGGGTCCAGAGCAAGTAATACAGGTAGGGATATCAGACCAGAGATCCCTGGATATCGGGGACTTGAAGGAAAGAATAAAGAAAAGAGGGAAGCTTATGAGAACTTGGAGGAGTATATAAGTATATAGCTGAAATTTAGAGGGTAGGTAAACAAAGAGCAGGCATGAAAAAAATTGTCAAGTACTACATGAAGAGCAAAAGTATAGCAAATGAAATAGTTAGGGCTTATTAGGTACCATAATAATAGCCTAGAAAAGGCATAAGCTATTTGGTCCTTTGAGTCAACACTATAATTTAATAAAATCATGCCTGGTTGTGGTCTCAACTCTACATTATTGTCTGCTGTGCATAGTCCTGGACTCCCTTGTCTATTGAGGTGTATGGTCTTCAATGATCATTTTACATCTGCTTTCACAAAATAGAGTCATTCAAATTGGAGAAGAAGAACATGAAATATCTGATGCAGGTAACATATTGAAAAAGGAAGTATGATGTGTGTTTAAGATTTTTGGAAGTGGATAACTCCCCAGGCCTCGATAGAATGTATCCCAAGCTGCTGAAAACATGAGAAGAATAGGAGAAGCTCTGACAGTCATTTTCCAGTACTCTCTGGCTACAGTTCTGGAGAACATTATCCCATTATCCTTTTTTTTAAAGCTGTAATCTAGATGACAACATTATAGGCTAATCATCACAACATTAGGGGTGGGAATATTATTAGGAAAATAGGTAATTATTTGCTTGGATTTTTTAAAAATTCACTCATGGGATATCGGTGTGGCTGGCTGGGTCATCCCTAGTTGCCCCTGAGTAAGTTGTGGTGAGCTACCTATCTGAGCCCCTGCCATCCATGTGTTGTAGCTAGATTCATAATGCTGTTAGGGAGGGAATGATAGGGATAAATCAAAGAGAATCCAGATGGATTTGTTAAGGGACATCCTGTCTGACCAACATGACTGCATTTTCTTTTGAAGAGGTAAAAAGGAGGTTAGATGGCCATAGTGTATTTGTTATGGTCTAAATAGATTTCAACAAAGCTTTTGTAGAATCCCACCTGGCAGACTGGTCGCAAATTAAAAGCCTGTGAGATGTAAGGCAAGGTGGCACGTTGAACTCAGAAGTAGATCAAAAGCTGGAAGCAAAGATAATGATTGACGGATATTTTTGTGATTCCAAAGGGATTCCACAGGGCTCAGTACTGAGTCCCCTTGCTTTTTGTGGTAAAGATTAATGATTTGCATATAGGGAATATAAAAAAGAAGTTTGCAGCAGATTTTTTTAAAGTAATTAGTCACATGGTTGATCATGAAGAAGAAAGCTGGAAACTGCAGGAAGATATCAATGGACTCATCAAACAAGTGGAATAGTGGCAAATGGAATTCAGTCTAGAAAAGTGCAAAGTAATGCGTTTGGGTAAAGCTAACAAGGCAAGGGAATACACAATAAATGATTGTATCCTGAGGAGTGTAAGAACAAAGGGAGGCGATGGCCAATTGGTATTATCGCTGGGCTGTTAATCCAGAGACCCAGATAACATTCTGCAGACCCAGGTTTGAAACCCGCCAAGGCAGATGGTGGAATTTGAATTCAATAAAATATCTGGAATTAAGAATCTGATGATGACCATGAATCCATTGTTGGAAAATCCCATCTGATTCACTAATGTCCTTGAGGGAAGGAAACTGCTATCCTTACCTGGTCTGCCCTACCTGTGACTCCAGACCCACAGTAATGTGGTTGACTCTGAAATTAGGGATGGGCAATAAATGCTACCTAGCCAATGACACCCTCATTTTGTTAATGAATAAAGGGAGTAAAAAAGGGACCTTGGGGTTCACAGATCCCTGTGAAAGCAGCAAAACAATGGTTGAGAAGGAATGTGGGATGTTTTTTCCTTTATTGGTTGAGGCATCAAATACATGATTTGGGAGTTTATTTTAGAACTGTATAAAACACTAATTAGGCGACAGCTGGAGTACTCCTGGCAGTTTACTGGTCTCTGCACGGGATGAAAGATGTGATTGCATGACAGAGGGTACACCAAAGATTTGTGAGGATGTTGCTTGACTGGAGAATTTTAGTTAAGAGGAATGATTGGATAGTAAAGGAACAAAGGAAGCTGAGGGGAAAATGGGAAAGGTTTAGCTAGGTCATTAGGGAAAGGATCTGTTCCTTGCAGTTGAAGACACAGGTTTAATTTTAAGAGGCAGGAGTTTTAAAGGCAATTCGAGGTGGTAGAGATCTAAAACTCAATCCCTAAAAGAGTGGTAGAAGCAGACAATGTTATAACATTTAAGAAAGTACTTAGATATGTACTTGTGGAGGCATTGGCCAATGGTATTAATGCTAGACAACTAAACCAGTAATGTTCGGGGGTCCGGGGTTTAAATATTGTCATGACAGATAGTGAAATTTGAATTCAATTTTAAAAAATCTGGTATTAAGGGTCTAATGGTGACTGTGAAACCATTGTTATTTGTCAGAAAAACCCGCTTGGTTCACTAATGTTCTTGAAGTAAGGAAATCTGCTGTCCTTACCTGGTCTGGTCTACATATGACTCCAAACCTGCTGCATGAAGCTAGATCAGTTTAGGATATCTCGTTGGCATGGACAAGTTCGACTGGTGGGTCTGTTTCCATGCTGTATTATTGTATGACTTTCTCTTCTGAAAGCTACCCAAGTTAAAAGTTATTGTCCATGTAAATTTCTCCAAAACTTGATCCGACCTATTCTAGCAATCTCTTCCAGGTGCTTATAGAAGCTCAGCTTCTACCACAGTTCCTCATACTCAGGATTATTGATGGTTGCCACCCCTTGCTGCATGGTTTTTATTTCAGTCAACTTCCCCTTACTATCTAGAATTCTCATCTAAAACTACATTAAGTTTTCACTTTCAGAGCATCTTAAAATAATCTGTTGAGAGACTATGATTTTTAAAATCCCTCCATTCTTACTTGATGGTCACAACTTCCCCAATTAAAGAAAGTTATATATATTTACAGCACAGGTCATTATTGGCTGACTCTTAACACCCCTCTGGGCAATTAGAGATGAGCAATAAATGCTGAGCCAGCCAGTGACGTCCTCATCCTATGGATGAATAAAATAAATACACACATCGAATGGTCATAACCTACAAGTCTCTAGACCAGGGAAGTGCAATTAGTCTAGTCGGCCTCTTGTTGGCCTATGTGGATACACAAATCAGAATGTCCTGTGCTGTAAATATCTATGAATTTCCTTAATTGGGGAAAATGTGGCCATCGAGTTAGAATGGACGGATTTTAAGAGGATGGTCTCTCAACAGATTATTTTAAGAGGCTTCTGAAAGTGAAAAGGTAATAGCAAGGTAACATGGTTTTAGATGAGAATTCTAGATAGTAAGGACAAGTTGACTGAAACAAAAACTTCATGTAACAAGGGGTGGCAACCATCAATAATCCTAAGAATGAGGAACTGTGGTAGAAACTGTTCCGAGTTCTGACAAAGGGTCACCAGACCCGAAACATTAACTCTGATTTTTTCTTCATAGATGCTGCCCGACCTGCTGAGCTTTTCCAGCAACTTCTGTTTCCGTTCCTGATTTACAGTATCCGCAGTTCTTTTGGTTTTTATTACTTATTACCTTTATTATTCTCTTCAATTGTTCTTTCATGTTTTATGAGCTAAACCAAAAGCTTTATTTTAAGTCCAAATATTAAAATTATTTATGAGAAATTTAATTTCAGATTCTGCTGCAAGAACAACTTCGCACACTGAAAAGCTTCAAGAATTAGATGAAATAAAACGTAGAACCCAAACTGCACCAGGCAAAGTTCATCGTAAAGGTTGGGTGCAGGTAAAGACAAAGTATGATTGATCCCACAGTATGAGCAGTTTTAAATTTTTGCTGCCTACAGGGAATTTTAAGGCCAGAGTCTACCTGCTTATTCTGCACGACATAAATTTCAGTATATGATAATATGAAACAGATAGTATTGTCGTGGGGTCAGTGCTTCTTTGAATATTAAGGGTGTTCCAACACCACTCCCTTTTCATCCTGTCCTTGGAAGAAACAATCTCACATTGCTTTGGTTTTGATAAATAATCATAGAATCTCTACATTGTGGAAGCAGGCCATTCAGCCCATAGAGTTAACACTGACCCTCTGAAGAGCATCCCACCCAGGCGCAACCCCCTACCCTATACCCGTAACCCTGTATTTCCCATGCTAGTCCACCTAGTCTGTACTTCCCCGGACACTATGGGTAATTTAGCATGGCCAATCCACCTAACCTACACATCTTTGGACTAATACTAGTCAAACTAAAAGCTTTTAGGTGGCTGGCCCTCTTGGGTATTTCCCAAATTTTTTAAGCTGCGCTCTCAATGCGTTTAAATTTTTTTGTCCCAGACTTGTTCCTAATGTCGGTTCAGTTTAATAGTAAGCAGTAAAGCTAAGTCATTAGTATTTGTGAAGAGATCAGAGTACACAAGTTATCTTCTCTTAAACACTCCCATAGAATCAAGAATATTTAATTCCAGTATGATTCATTAGGTTTTGAGATGGCTGATAAGTACAACGGGTGATCTGCAGACAATGTCACGTGTAGGGCGGTGATGTTTGGACATTAGTGCGCTCACTCCGATGTCTCAACAGCCTCTGTGTGCTCTTGACAAAGTCTATGTTTGTTGCCTTCTCACATGAGCCTTTACCATTTCGGTCAGTCACAAGATTTGGACTCAAATGAGTCAATAGAAATTTTTGATCTCTTGAGGGATGCTTTCAGGACATCTCTATCAATTAGAAATTTAGGTTTTTTTGTAAATTATTTAACATCAGCTGAATAATTCTCAATAATTTTTAATATTGTTTCCTCTTCACAATTTACTACACCAAATTTTCTGAAGTTATTGTGTTGCTATATTTAGCTTGAATCAGCTGTTATAAGTTTTATTATGGACTTTGGTAAAATTATTTTGTATTTAAGAGCATAATGGGATACACTATTTAAGGAAAGTTTGGTTGCGATGTCATGAATTAGTTCTGAATTATTTTTTGCAATGCAGAGGAGTATGCAACACGCCCTCCTTTTTTTAGTTGTCCATTTTTGAGCCATTATAGACAGTACAAGGTCAGCTCATTTAAACAACTTGTGGCACTCCAGGTGCTTATAATTGAGGCATCCATCATCCACATAACAGAGCATCAGCCTACATTACTTGCAAGCTGTTGCTTATTGAGCAAATTGGACATGAATAACCTGCACCTTTTGATTCAAGGCCACAGTACTGGAAGTACCCAATGCATTGCATTGTTGGGCCAAAAATGTGGGTCTTGCTCATTCTTCAAGTACAGAAGATATTGTCAGTAAATGTTTCAATGTAACCTTTTTCTCTGCTTGGTCTCTGTTGTGAGTTTTAATGCAAGATTCAGAAAGTTTACCATGGTTCCAGTTCTGATGTCCCTTGTCAGATAGATTCACTTCAGTTCGTTTCCCTGTCTTGCCGTAGTACTTCTTTTCATGGGTTATGGGAGTGGCTGGCAAGGTTGGTATGTGTCGTCCATCTGTAATTACCCTTGAACTGAGTTGCCTGCTGGACCATTTTAAAAGTCAATCACTTTTCTGTAGATCTAGAGCCACATATATGCCAGACTAGGCAGACTTCCTTTCCTAAAGGCCATTAGTGAACCAAATGGTCACTTAAAATAATTGTCAATGGCTTTTAGGCCACCTTTAGACTGGTTTCTACAGCAGATTTTTTTTTAAGTTGGATTTAAATTTTACCCATTGAAACTGTGTCCCTAGCACATTAATTTGGGGCTCTGGATTACTAGTCCAGTGACAATATCACTATGCCACTGTCTTCCTTTATACACTCAAAACTGATAAATTCTGACAGACATGGAGCAAGGCGAACTATTGTGTACCATTGAGATTTGAGTACAATTTTCAGTTCAGATTTTGTATTTGCTAAGGTCTGTTCATTTCTGGTGCAAGTAACGCTTTCATATTATTACAGAGTTCTGTCAATATTAAAACAGAGAAAGGAACGCAGTTGCACCTTGGTCCTCCCATAGATTACTCTGATGATTTTGAAGCTGATGAAAGTGTTGATATGGAGACAGAGGATATACCACGTAATTGTTCTCAGGTAACTTTAAACAAGCCGACAATAGTGAAAAGTTTTGTCTGTCGTAGTATTTTAACAACTTCATTCAGCAGGTGAAGTTTGTATTTGCTGCACTAGGCTGTCTTGCAGAGTGATCACAGGCCAATAGGATCTAAATTTCTTTGGATATTAATTTGTTTCTCTGATTTCTATATGTTTAACCCAACTGGTGTATACACACTAAATGAGCTTGCTCCCACTTTGATTATCTCTTTTCGTGTTACCCTTTATTACTCTAATCTGTTCATCCACCTACAAGCCTTCACCCTTAGGACCCTAAGAATAGGTGGAGGCCATTCAGCCCACCATGCCTTTCCCATCTTTCTAGGTTATGATTGATAATCCTCTCAATGCTATTTGCCTGCACTGACTCCATATCACTTAATGTTGTTAGTCTCCATAATTCTACCAATTTCTTACTTGAACCAACTCAATGATTGACTTCTGTGTAGAGAATTCCATAGACTCATCACCCTCTGAGAGAAGGAATTCCTCCTCATCTCATTAAATGCTTGCCTTTCACCCTGAGAAGTTCCCCTGGTTCTGAGTCACAAGCCAGTGGAAAGGTCCAGTCTATATCCAACCTGTCATGCCCTATGAGAACTTGGTCTTTCTAATTGTGGTCTTTAACATTATAAAGGGGGTTGCCAAGGTAACCACGTTAACTGCATTTCCATTCATGGAGTTAATCCAAATCTCGGGGTCAAATTCAATTAAATAAGGAAGTCTGGCGGAGTTTCTTTACTCAGAAAGAGATTTGAATGTGGAACTTACAGCCGTAAAGATAGTAGAAGTAAATAGCACAGATACCTTTTAAAGGAATCTGGATAAACATGAGCAAGCTCTGGAAATGTCTTTGATGAGCTCAATAAGGATGTCCATTCATGGAGTAATTTATTTATTGAATGAGTGCTGTGATTCATGCATGGTTCTCAACCCATAATGCAATCAACAAACATAGAATTGGACCCCATATACAAACCCATACAGAACAAAACCGGAAATGACACTATTCACCATAACGGACCGGACAGTATAAATTCCAAGCGGAGTAGAATAACATCGCTTCATCGGAAGCCTCACTGATGATGTTACCTAGTATGGTAATGAAACGTCTGAACAAAAACAAGCCAGCTCGGTGAGCAAGTCAACAACCTGAGCTACAAACCTTTGCTAATACTTTGAGGCAACCAATATCATGTCGACAGTTGTCAGTGAACAGATCAAGTGTAGCTAAAAGGGCAGAGGGAGAGTCCAGGTGGAGAGAGAATGTTTGGATGGGAAGAGGACTCTTGTCCAAAGAAATGGGCACAGAGACGAAGATGGCAGAAGAAGAGTTTGATGTCATGTCGTGCCCGAAATTCGTTAAGGTGGGGACACAGAGGAATAAAGCTGAGGCCTTTGCTGAGTACAGAACGTTCAGCATCAGAGAGCAGAAGGTAGGAGGGATGGTGAATACCCGACTGGAGGTGGGGTTGGGGGAGGAGATGGCGTCAGAGGGAAGAGGAGGAGAGGAAGGTTCCAGAGGACCATGGGTATCTCGAAGTTGTTGCATCTTCTGAGCCTTGATGCCTGAAAGGAAAAGAAGAAGTTTCTTGTTAGCATGACGAATGAGCCGGAGGATGAAATGCAACTGTGAAATGGTGCAGCCCTGAGCCAGTGTGATGTGATGCCGTTGGAGAGAAAGGTCGAGAATGTCCATGTGATGCCGCATGGCACTGAGTGTGGATCTCGGGATGCGGTGAGAGCAGCTGTCTGTGGAATGTTGAACGTCATGGAGATTTCTGTGATCCTGGGAGGATTTAAACATAAGGGGAGAAATTTCAGTTGGAATCCACGTGGGGTGAGTCTGAGCCGGAGGCAGTCACTGAGGAATGTCATATGGCCGTGGAAACCAGTTTTAGCAAATACTTGGTCAAACACCAGGCATGACAGTGAAATTAATGTTGGTGGGCAAGAATAAAGATTGGAAACCCCATCAGAGAGAGGAGCAGAATTTCTTCAAGGTTGGCATACCTAGAAGAGATGTGGCAGTGAGTTAAATACTAAATAAAAACCGAAAGAACTGCGGATGCTGTGAATCAGGAACAAAAATAGAAGATGCTGGAAATGCTCAGCAGGTCTGGCAGCATTTGTGAAGAAAAAATCAGAGTTCACATTTTGGGTCCAGTGAGCCTTCCTCAGAACAAATATTTACTGTACTTCACGATATTCATACTTGTAGAGTAATAGAGTCATACAGCACAGAAATGGACCCTTTGGTCCAACCAGTCCATGCCGAACATAATCCCAAACTAAACTAGTCCACCTGCCTGCTCCTGGCCCATATCCCTCCAAACCTTTCCTATTTATATATCCATCCAAATGTCTTTTAAACATTGTATTGTACTTGCATTCACCACTTCATCAGGAAGTTCATTCCACATGCAAACCACCCTCTGTATTCAAAATTTGCACCTGATGTCTTTTTTAAAATCTGTCTCCTCTCACCTTAAAAATGTGCTTCCAATCTTGAAATTCCCCATCTTAGGGAAAAGACAATTACCATCAACTCAATCTGTACCTCTCATTATTTTATAAACTTCTATCAGGTCACCTGTCAACCTCTTGCGCTCCAGTGGAAAATGTCCCAGCCAATCCAGCCTTTCCTTATAACTCAAATCCTACATGCCCAGCAACATCCTGGTAAATCTCTTCTGAACCCTGTCCAGCTTGATAGTATCCTTCCTATAACTGGGTGACCAGAACTGGACACAGTATTCCAGAAGAGGCCTTACCAATGTCCTGTACAACCACAACTTAAAGTCCCAACTCCTTTACTCAAAGGACTGAGCAATGCAGGCATACGTGTCAAATGCCTTTTTAACCATCCTGTCTATATGTGATGCAAACTTTCAAGAAATATGTACCTGCACCCCTAGGTCCCTCTGTTCTACAACACTACCCAAGGCCCTACCATTAATTGTATAAGCCCTATCCTTGCTTTTATACCAAAATGCAATACCCCGCATTTATCCAGACTGAACTCCATCTGCCATTTTTCAGCCCATTTTCTGACATTTTTTAAATGAAGAACCAGGAACTGGTTTTATAATGCATATCCTAATTGAGAGTGTCATATCACTTACGTAATCTTAATTTCTTGCGTGGCCTACTCCTGCTGCTAGATTCTGTGGTTCTACAGTTACATTCCTGTTGCAAACGCTTCAATGTTGTTCTGGACACAGGTCATAGATGGGGGAACCCTATTAACACTGGAAGAATTTTGTATTACTTTAGAGGGTGTTTAGGAAACTAGCTGCTTGAGTTTGGAGCATGTACTACAACAACAGAAACTTGAATTTTCATAGTGCCTTTAAAGAAATGATAGTTTTAAAGGAGCATGAGTGTCGAGCATTTGACTGTTTTACAAAAGAAAGAATGTGGAGGATTTTGGGAAGTGTCTGAAGGCAAAGGGTTTTTGGGAGGGGTCAAAGACAGAGTGTTGTGGGGAAAGGGCGAGGGCACCGTGTTCGGGGAGAGGTGTGAGGCAGTGGGTTTCAGGATGGGTTGAGAGTAGAGAGTTTTGGGGAGGGGGTGAGGATTTCAGGAACGAAGCGTGGGGTTGGGTTTTAGTTAGTGCATGAGGATGTTGAGTTTTGGGGAAGGGAAAGGGCAGAGTGAAGGTAATTCTAAGATACTAAGCCCAATCATTTGATTGATTTTGCTAACGCTTTCAGGAAAAGCACTGGGATTTGTTCCTCTATGTCATTAATATTGTGTTTTTGTTTTTTCAATTACTTGCAGATTCTTGCTGATGATTATTCCAGGATCAGAAACGACCCTTGTTTCCCATCAAAGTCTTCCTTCGTAAAACCTGGAAGGATAGCCGATAACAGCGGCTCTGATGGCAATGAAAAAATACTCCTGAACATGCAAGAAGTTAAGGTATGCACTGGCAGCTAATCCCCAATGAATTTCAGTAGAAAAGAGTTAATTTCTCATTATGCAGTTGGGCATAAATAATATAGCATACACTAAATCTGATAAAAATTCTGTTGTTTATATGTAAGATTTTTAGGTCATCCCGAGCTGCCCATTGTCAGCCATGTAATGGAGTCATTTGTGGGGCAAATCCTAAAGGACGTCACTGTATGATCAAAAAGGAACAGAAGAGAGACTTGTATTTATTTGCCTTACCATTAGATGCCCCAAAACACTTGAGCTATTGAAGTGCTTTCTGAAAAGCAGTCACTGTTATAATAGAGTCACAGAGTCATACAGCACAGAACCAAACTCTTCGGTCCAACTCATCCGTTCTGACTAAGTTTCCCAAACTAAACTGATGAATTATAGTTATTTAATTGATGTAATATCCTAGTACTCTCACAGATCGAACTCTGTGTACAACCACAGATTTCCTACAATGCTTAATAAATCCACAGCCATATATCACACAATATAAATAAATTGCTAACAACAGACATATCATGCATCAAATGAAGCAGACATTTTGTACACAGTAGACTATGACAAACAGCAAAGTATTAATTAGCATAAGATCTTTCTTGTGATGTTAGGTTGAGGGATCGGTCAAGATTTCTGAGATGACTCTCCTAGTCTTTTCTGAAACAGTGCCATGGGATTTTAAATGTCCCCTCAGAGTGTAGATGGAGGGGGGAAGAGGGAAGGGAGGATTCCATGGTGTTTGGTTTAATGCCTCATCCAAAGAAACAGCACTTCTGGCTCCAGCACCCCCAAAGTGCTGCATTGGATTGTCAGCTTTGATTTCTGTGCTCAAGCCCTGGAGTGGCACTTGAACCTTGTGACTCAGGTGAGAGCACTACTGACTAAGCCACTGTTGACACTGCAGCAATCCTAATACCAACATCTAATTAGCATTCTGATTGTAGTATTTTTGGCCCACTACTTAATGCATCACTTTTTTTTATTAGATGTTGAGAAGAAGCTTGCAGCAGACTGCTGACCTCCAGCTTAGTGATGAAAAGAGCACTGGCAGTGAGGATTCTGATTCCCTAGAGGACGAGAAAATTGGAGAGCAGATTGAAACTCGAGAATCAACAGACAGTCTGGAGAATCTACAGCTGAACAAGCAATCTTTCCAGAGGGCGCCAGAGGCTAAACAGTGTGCTTTACACCCTGGAGATCTGATTGTACTTGAATTTGGGCCTGGTACAAAAAGTAAGTCTGGTAAGATTTGAGAAATGTAATGCATTTCAGCCTTCATAGAGTTTCGTGTTACTGTTTAAGATTTGCTTATACAGCTTTATTGGAATGGAATTTTAAGATTTCTTCATTGAATCAACTGCTTTTACTGCTTTTGCTTTTAAAACAATGATGGCATGGTCATACCAAAATATACACGATTTCATATGTTGCACTTATTTTACAAGAGCGAGGATTTATCTTTGCCAACATGATTGCTTTAAGTCTGACTGCCTGTGATACTCCCCAAGAGCAGAGTAATGGGATTAGCTTGGATAGCTCCAGCATAAAACTGGAAGGAGTAAAGAACAGATGCCGATACCATGAGCCAACTAGCCATCGCCAATGCCATTCAACTTCTATGATATTAGTCACTACTCACAATTTCATTCTTTTCTGGTAGCATCCGGCCATTAAATTATATTTATGCACAGTATTCTGTTTGCACAAGTCCTGAGTGTTAGCTTACATTCACTTGGTGAAAATAGAGGTGGGGAGGCAATAGCCTAGTGGTATTATCGCTGGACTGTTAATCCAGAGACCCAGATAACGTTCTGGGGACCTGGGTTCAAATCCTGCCATGGCAGATGGTGGAATTTGAATTCAATAAATATCTGGAATTAAGAGTCTAACGATGACCATGCATCCATTGTCGATTGTTGGAAAAACCCATCTGGTTCACTCATCTCCTTTAGGGAAGGAAACTGGCATCCTTACCTGGTCTGGCTTACATGTGACTCCAGACCCACAGCAATATGGTTGACTGTTAACTGCCTTCTCGGTAATTACGGATGGGCAATAAATGCTGGCCTAGCCAGCAACGCCCTCATCCTGTGAATAAATAAAGAAAAAAACAAGATAAATATCAGAATATTTAGCAGAATGTGAGGAGTTCATGCAAAATGGATAACCTTCTCTTCCTAGAGGCATCGACTCTTCTGAATCGGAGGAAGAGAGGAAGAATCCAATGTAGGCATATAGGAACAGCGATCAGATGATCCATTGTCTAACTTGGAATCCAGTCCATGTAAAGTTTCCAACATACAGATACCCCAACTGTGTTTATCCTGGTGGTTTATATGAAAGGCCACAAAATGGCGGAAGAGATGAGAAAAATGGCGAGGTTACACCTCAGTTAATGCTTACAATCTGAGGGAGTTTCATAACCCTAGCTTTTTATTTGTCAGAAGGCATTGGAAGTATATAGAATGGAGTTGGATGAAAGGACTGTTGTACCTGACAAGGCTGTATTACTATTTTTCCCCCCTACCATTAAGTTGCGGTGACAACTTAAGCATAATTCTATTCTTTTTAAATGCAAAATTAAAAATGAAAACCAAAAGGAATGACCAAAACCATGCAATTAAAAGATTCCTACACTTCCAGTCTGTCCTTGGATTGTATTTGCTATTGTGCTCAGCACGCAATAGATAACAGTGTGAGGCATTGAGTCATGTTGACCAGAAAAGCTCCAGTTGAAATCTTGGCTGAGGACATTAAAAATCTATCATCGCTTTCTGCCCAGTTGTTAGAAGAATAGCAATTGCATGGGATTTAAGAGTGCAGTGCTACTTATTATATAAATATGTAACATAAATGATACAAAGAAACTGGCAGGGTGATGGGGGAAGATTAGGCTGAATCAGATAGCTATTCAATTAAAGCCATTACAGGCCTGAATTGGTCCCTTTTATATTGTCTGATTTGATGATGCATTATTTTAGAATGCCTGTGCCCTTCCTTCAGAGAGGAAGTGACTGAAAGGAGAAAAATCAGAGCTAATTAAAATTATTCAAACTATATAATATTGAAGCATTAGAATATGTGTTAACAGAGTAAGGTAGGTTTGAATTAAAAATAGATTATTTATTAATGCATCATTTGCAGGCAGTCGAAAAGTGCGAGCTTTGACAGCAGCTAGGAAAAATGATGCAGGATCTTACATTCCTTTGAAACCCAGTCTGGTGAAAAGTAAATCTTTTGACAAATTCACCTCTTCTTCTAACCATCTTGGAGCAGACCTGATTTCAAGTAAGGTTTCTTTCTGATGATGGGAATGTGAAGTTTTATGTTTTGTCTTTAGAAATGACATTCTGCTGACTGAGTTTTAACAGTATTATATGGTGAGAAGATAGGACTGTAAGCATGAGGAATTGTGAATCTTTCTTGGACAAATATCTGAACAACTGAACAATTAATTGGAAATATACCATTGCATTTTGTTTTAAAAAGTACTAAAATATAAGACCTACACATGGAGCACTGTGGATTTGTTGTTTAGCATTCATTTTAGAAGGAAAGTTTTGATTTTTTTTTAAATCATTCATCTTCTGTCCCATTCAGTACTGAAGTTACATTGGATTACATAGTATATAATTTTATATTTGTTTATAGGATGTGGCATTAATGGTAAGGCACTTATTGTCCATCTCAATTTGCCCTTGAGCAGTTGGTGATGAGTCACTTCTTCAAATGAAGCAAATTTAAGCCTCTAATCTGTTCTCATGCCCACAGTATACATAGGTCTGGTCTGGTTCAGTTTCTGGTCTCGAGAAACGAGAATGTTAATAGTGGGGGATTCAGAGATGATAATGCAATTAAATGTCAAGGGGCAATGTTTAGATAGGCCCTTGTAGGAAATGGTCATTGCCCTGCCACTTGTGTGGCGTGAATGTCTTTTTTTAAAATTATTTATTTACAAATGCCACTTATTATCCTGGATGTTGTCCAGGTCCTGTCGCATATTGCTTAGATTGCCTCATTTTCTGAGGAGTTACAAGTGGTGCTGAATATCATTCAATCACCAGTGAACATCCCCATTTCTGACCTTATGTTAGAGGAAAATCATTCTTGAAGTACTGAACGTGGTCAGGCTTAGGACAGTATCATAATCCTCGCTTAACATAAACTTTTGCACAGCACTGCTGCTTTCGCAATCAATCCCCCTTGCTCCTGGTAATGTCACCCCTGCTTCCCAAGCCTTGCCTCCTGCCCTTGTTCTCAGTCTTTTCTCCCTGCTCCCATCTCACTCCTCCAGCTCTTGCCTCTTACCAGCATTGCTTGCCACCCTCGCTCCATGTAGTTGCTTCTTGCCTCAGCCTTGCTTCCTGTTTTCTGTCCTCTGGAGTCCTTGGGTTTGTTATTCTAACTTCATCTGTTCTGAATTCACACTAAAGTCCGGGCCTCCATGTAGTGGCAGAGGTTACTCAGTGAACGTAGTCCTCAGACTTCACCAGAACACCTATGCCAACCAATGTCCGTCACTAGATGACACCTGGTCAATCAAACCTTATTGTGGATACTTTTTTATTCAGTATGTTTGGATATGTTATGACATGTGTCTGGGGCAGATAGGACTTCAACCCAGACCTTCTGGTTCAGAAGTAGAGACACTACTACTGCACGACAAGACCTCTATTCTTAAAAGTCTAATGTTCTGCTGATTGAGTTTTAACATTATAATATGGTGAGCTTGTTTCATACTTAGCAAGTTTCTTCAGCTAGAAGTATACAATGCTGTGCAGGTGTTTCAACTTGGACATTGTATTTTCTGCACGAGATATATCCAAAGGACCCACCTTTGCCTTTAACATTGATTATTATGGGAACATATGACTCACTTAGAAGTAATTTCACTTAAATTCGCCATTTTCAGGATGGCAACAACAATTTTAAGTGAGGATTTATTGTCTAAGGTTCTTGAGTAGATTTGTAGCTTGGGTTGTGGATGTTGTGGTTGGTTGGCTCGCCGAGCTGGTTCGTTAGGTCGCGAATGTTTAATTACCCTGTTGGGTAACCTGATCAGTGCAGCCTCTGATGAAGTGTTGTTGTGTTTTCCTGCCTGGTATCTAAACTCCAGGGTCCGTTGGAATTGGTTACCTCATTTCCGGTATTTCTTTGCAGTGGTGTATATATAGGGTCTAATTCTATATACTTATTGTATCCAGGGAAAGCCCTGCAATGTTCCCCTCAAGCAGAGATGATGAACCTCCATTAACTGCAACCAACTTCCTTTTTGTTAGGTATGAATACAATCAATAGCGATCTTGCCCCCCACCCCTCCCAATCCTCATTGATTCCAGTTTTGCTACGATCACTTGATTTCACACTTGGTCAAATGTTGCCGCAATGCCAAGGGTAGTTATTCATGTCTCATATTTAGTTCAGCTCTCTTGTTCATGTTTGGACCAAGTCTGTGAAGAAATCTGGAATCAAATAGTCCTGGTGGAACCTGGGTTATTTTTGTGTAAGTGCTGCTTGATATTACTGTCAACATCTTCTGTCATCTATTTACTTGTAATTTTACTGATGGGGGATTGGTCAGATTGGAGTTCTGTTGCCTTTTTTCGTTGTTCAGTGAATGCTGGTGTTGTAGCTGTACCGGAATGGCTACATTTGTGGCTCCGAGAACATTTATTCTTAAATATCTACTTGGATTTTAAATTTTATACATTTTGTTACTGGGTTTTTCCAATTTCTGGGCTGTGAATAGTGACCTGAAATGTTATAATTGTTCAAGACTGAGACTGATAAATTTTGACATATTAAAAATATATAGGGATACAGGGATAGTGCAGGAAAATGATGTTGACGTAGGTGATCAGTTCATGATCTTGTTGAATGGCAAAGCAGGCTTGATGGGTCGAATGGCCTATTCTTTCTTTTTCTTACGGTCCATTGACCATAAGAACCAAAAAATATTGTCCGTTGTCCATAAGCAAATATGACTGCTTGGTGATTTGAGAAAAGAGAAGTTTTAGAGGTGCAGAACTGTAAACAGTGAACTGAAATCAACATACATAGCATCACCTACTTGTCCCTTATCTTTCTCCTGTTTGGTTTCTCACCCTGCACCTTGTAGAAACTTCAGTGCATTCAGCTTTCTCATATTTTATTGTGCACTAATTTCTGCTAACCTAAATGCTGAGTGAGCAGATGGGTCACAGGAGTGGTAATGTTTCCTTGATCGCTTGTCAATTCTTTCAGCCCATTAGTAAAAATGAGGAGTCTCGGTTTTCACTAGCATCATATTTAACCCAAGATGAGCTTTCCAACATATGTCCCTGCCATCTCAACTTAATAAATTTGTAATTTAAGTTGGTTTCAGTTATGGTGACTATGACAGCTGTCCTCCATTGTTATAAAAGCCCATTTGGCTCACTAATGTCTCACTTCAAAGAAGGAAATCTGGTCTGGCCTACACTTGATTCCATATCACCAGTGATGCGGTTTGACTCTTAACTGCCATATGAAATGTCTGAGCATGTCACTCAGATCAAGGACACTTGAGGATCAGAATGACAGCAATTCCCGCAATGCTGTGAAAGAATAAAGAAAAATGCTTTGTTATCACCCTGCTTATTTGACAATCTTTCAACCTGACTGTTAAGGAGGTCGACAGTTGCTTTCCCTATTCAGTCAGGTACTGGAAACCTGGTTCCTCAAAATACAATGTTAGTTCTCAGCTGAGACTTCTAATAACATGATCAGCAAAATTAAATTGAATGTGCCAGGACAATTCTGACAGACACTGTAGGTAGTGATGGGCCAATATCTTTTAACCCCTAAATAGAAATCTCAAAATATTAAATAGATAATCTTTTGAATTTTAGATCATGCATCCTGATTTTCTTTTTAATATCAAACTAAAGTTCCTTGCTTAACTTTATGACTTTTTAAAATTGAGTTTGAGTGTATTTTTAAATGTTTAGTCGCAGTATATTCAGTAAACATAATATATACGCTATTTATTTTATTTAGCTCAAGAAAGTCGTCAAGAGCGGGTACTTTCTGCTGCAAGAAGGAATATATGCCAGGTGAAGGATCCAGAATTATCTGCTTCAAGTGTATTTCAAGCCATGCAGAAAGAAAATGAAGATATGCTGAAAAGTGTAGAAAAGCAGAGAACAATCACAAAAACACCCACATGTTGGCAAACGGTACGTAAGAGTGAGGAAAAAAACTGAAGTGCAAGAGGTTTTGAAATACATGTCAGATACTGGGATGGATTAAAGTTATTTCTTCCATTCTAGTAGAAATTCTCTAAGCCTGTTCTGCTTACAAGTGATACAAAGTTTCATGCATTACAATTCATATTTAATGGGAAGAAGGGAAGTTCTGACTCTACAGGCATCATAAGAGAAGTGATCTTACCTCAGGATAAATGGTTACATGGTTTCCAGGCTTTTTATTAGATGTATTTTTTAAACAGGATTGAGGAACCTGTGCAGATAGCTCATTGAATATTATAAATCTATTTATGTTTGAGAGTCAATACGCCATAGAAAATGTGTGTATGCATGCAGTAGGGCTTCCTATTCTGAGGCATGGGTTAAGCAATTTATGTGCATATACATTGCAATGACTGAAAATAATCATTTTGGTTTCCTGGAAAATCATTCTGTTCTTTCTTAGTCATCATTGGGTCAAAAATTTTCAAGAGTAATTTGAAAGAAAGGGAGATAAATTCTGGTTTTGTGTAATTTAAATTACGATATTTGATCAAGTATTTTGTTTGTTAATAAACTACTTTTTCAGTTATCTAATTGTTTCATTATTTAGCTTTCGCCTTCAGAAGCAGCAAGAAATGGCACACTGCAGTGTTTGCCCGTACCAGTAAAGCACGATATGATCGATAAAGCTATTGAACGAATCAGCTATTTGGAACCAAGGTAATTTCAGGCTTCTATGTCTATATCAGAATATCATTAAGGTAGATCTGTACGCATTTTCATTCAAACTATCAGCTGTCCAGCCATCATATTTTTGTCATTTTTATACTGACTCTTCTGTTATGACTTCCTTTTAAACACATCATTCTGTATGGTCTGTCCACAGGAAAACATATTCTGCACAAACTGTTTTTGCACAAAGCTTGAAAGTCTTTTCGAAATGTTTTACTTAATTATCTCTTCTTTCAGTAACTGAAGTGTTCAAAACGTGTTTAAACATGTATTCATGAAACACCTTAACTCATTTGCCCTTGAAATTGTGCATTTCCCAGAGTGCATCAGATCAGTCCTGTCAGCTGCACTAAGAAATGCTTTTTATTTAATCAGTGTAATGTAAACTGTGGGTTTTATATAACTTTAGTATTAGTTGCAGTAGGCTTGAATTTCTGGTTTGAGTTAGCAACCGTTTTTTTCTGTGTCTGAAGTTAACTGTTACCCTGTAATTGTATTTCTGTAATTTCATAATGATTTCTTCAAAATATTTTTGAAACCTGGCTGTAGAGTGAATGGATTTTGTGTAACAATGAACTTTTATTTATTTTTGATTGTTTGTGACTCAGTATGCTAAATTATGGGGCCTCAGAAGTTTGTTAGAGAAATCTGTAATCTGTTTTAAGATCAAGGGAAATATCCACAGCTGAGGGAGCAAGACTTTTAGTGCCACTTCTGACTGCATAGTAGAGAATAGGTGCGAAAACACAAAATATGCTTGCAACAGAGGATAGATAATCTCTTTGAATAGCTAATGATGGGCCCTTCTTTCTATGATTGACATGGTCAGCTGTGAGTGGGTAAGAAATGAATGGCTGGAACATAGCGTTTCAATTGCAAGGCTATCACTAGAATCAAATCCATATTGCACCAAATGGCTTAATGGTGGTAACATTTTTTTTCTCTCAAGATGCGATAATTTCTTCACTAAATTCTCAATTTCCAAGCAATCAGCCCGTAAGACACACTTGTTTTGCAAATTTAATAATTTTAACCTAATCAATTTAATACTGAATCTTACCTAGAGCATCAGCTTGCAGGTTTTTGACCATTTGGTTTGTTCAACAATTGCACTGTGACAACACATTAATCACGTTACAGGCTTGGAATCCAGATAGCCCAATTTAGTAGTTAAAGATCAATTAAACTTTGATTACTGTAAACAAATTTCATATCAGATCTTAAACATTAATAGGGTCAGTTGAACTTCCTATTACAGATTCAACATGTCGCACAGTTCTCCTGAACCCCTGCCCCCTCCACACTTCTTCAGGTACTTGTTTCCTTTATCTCAGTTATTTGTTATTTATGTACATCACTTCCCTATTCACCAGCTGTCATACCATTCACTGGGGAAGTAGAAACAGGAGGGCATCACTTCCATGGCTCATTGAGCCTGCTCCAGCATTCAGTAAATCATGGCTAATCTGATTGTTCCATTAACTCCCCTTTCATGCCTGCTTTCTTTAATCTTTAGTTCCTTTTTAAATCAAAATTTTGTCTGACTCAGCCCTGAAGTTATTCAATGATTCAGATTGCACTGCTGTCCGGGGAAGAGAATACCAAACATTGATAACCCTCTGAGAGAAAACGCTCATCCTCATTCCTGTTTTAAGTGGGAAGCCTGTTATTTTGAAACTGTGCCTCCCCATTCAAGCTATTTCCAATAAAGCAAACAGTCCAAAGATGTGCAGGCTAGGTGGATTGGCCATGCTAAATTGCCCATAGTTTCCAGGGATGTATAGGTTATGGGGATTTGCCATGGGAAATGCATGGTTACATGGATAGGGTAGATGGGGAGGATCTGGGTGGGTTGCTGTTTGGGGGATCGGCATGGACCTGATGGGCTGAATGGCCAGATTCCATGATTCTGTGAATAGAAATTCTGGTGCATTAGGGATGGTGGTAGAGCCTTGCCACTGAGGAACTGAGTCAAAGTCTAAAGCTGTGAAGGTAGACACAAAATATTTAACATCTTTGTCTACCCCTGATGATTGTCATGTTTCTGCTGATACAAAACCAACATTTACTTGAATAGTTTGGGACAATAGTGTGTGGATGGAAAAGCTGCTTATTAAACACTTGTTGCCACTATGGATGACGCAAATGTTTTGAGATTAAAGAAAAACTTTGTTTGGTCCCATAGGCAAATGTTTGAAGCAGGTTGTACAGATTTGCTTTTTTTCAGATGCTTTTGGATGGAGGTGAAATGTAAAATGATATTTTGGGATGCAGTGATTGCAGAGTGTGTTACTGTGTAGGCATTTTAACTTTTTAATTTCTTTTACTTACCACCTTCTGTTTTACAGTCAACAAAAGAAACTTCTAAAAGTGTTGGAGAAAATTGAAGTGCCTTCCAGTGATAGATCAGATAGCAGTACCATAAAGGCAAGAATTGGAATGACTACTGAGGTGAGCAACCTTCAAGTTTTGCCCACAGTGGGGGGCAGTGGTCTAGTGGAAATGTAGTAATCCAGAATCCTGGGCTAATGTTCAGGAGACCATGAAATTTAAATTCAGTAAAAACCTGAAATGAAAAGCAAGCTTAACGGCAACTATATCAGTAATAAATTAGGATCTGTATTAATTATGCTGGAATGCATCGTTTACCACTATTGTTTACTGTATTGAGTAATTTGACTTAACGGATGCACACCATCCTTACTTGCTGCAAAAAATGTCATGAGCACCACCTCATCATAAAATATTTTGCCAGCATCTCAATACGCAGATTTCTATCTTGCCCACACCAGAATGCTTCATACTGTAGAATGACAGTAGATTGGTCATGTACGTAGGAAATATCAAATTAAATTGAGCCCAGAAAAATATGACTTAATGTTTTTGGGGAGGACAAATGAGGCAAGGGAGTGTACAAAATATTAAAGCATTTTAAAGTGTAAAAGGTCAAGGGAGTCTTGGAATACATGCCTACAGATCCCGGAAGGCAGCTGGGCATTTTGACAAGGTGGTTAGGAAGACATAGATAAGGTATTAACGATAAGGTATAAAATTCAAGAGCAGGGGAGAGGGTCCAGAAGAAATTTACCAGGATATTGCCAGGAATGGAGGGTTTGAATTATCAGGAGAGGCTGGATAGGCTTGGACGTTTTCCAATGGAGTATAGGAGGTTGAGAGCTGACCTTATAGAGGTTTATAAAATCGTGAAGGGTATAGATAAGGTGAATGACAGGTGTTTTTTTTTGCCTTAGGATGGGAGATTTCAAGATTAGATGGCATATTTTTAAGATGAGAGGAGAAAGATTTTATAAAGACACAAGAGGAATTTTTCTTTTACACAGAGAATGGGTCACGTATAGAAAGAACTTCCAGAGAAAGTGGTGGATGTAGGTAGAGTTACAGCATTTAAAAGACATTTGGATAAGTATGTGAATAAGAAATGTTTGGAAGGATATGGGCCAAGCACAGGCAGGTGGGACTAGTTAAGTTTGGGAATATGGTCAGCATGGACTGGTTGGACTGAAGGTCTATTTCCATGTTTTATGACTGTATCTCTATAACTGATAAAACACTAGTTAAGCTAAAGCTGGAGTACTGTGTCCACCTCTGGACACCACATTACAAGAATTATGTGACTGCACTAGAGAAGATACAGAGGTATTTAAAACTGTTTTGCTATGAATCTCTGTGAAATGGCAAGTTGGAGTGTGTTCTTCCGATGGGGGAGACTGACACGTGATTTAACTAAGGTGTATAAAATTATGGGCCTACTTCTGTTAGTAGAGAGATCAATATCCAGGTGACATAGATTTAAAGTATTGGTAGAAGGATTAAAGAGGAGGTGAGAAATGTTTTCTCCCAGAGGTCTGGAAGTCACTAGGATGGTAACAGCAGAAACCTGTTATATTTAAAAAGCATTCACGTATGCACTTGAAGTGGTGTAACCTTCAGAGTACAGACCAAGAGCTAGACAGTGGGATTGGGAATGGATAATTCTTCTTAGCCAACATTGAGTATGCTCTGCCATTCAATGAGATCATGGCAGATCTACTAATTCTGTGCTGTCCTCAAAAATGATCCTGAGCTTTCGGTTGCCTACCATTTTAACACACCACCGTGTTCCCTGGCCAACATCTCTGTTTTGGGTTTGCTCCAGCAAAGCTCAGTGGAAACTGGAAGGACAGCATCTCATCTTCCACTTGGGGTCCCTTTAGCCTTCAACACTCAATATCAAATTCAGTAAGTTGAATTGAGTGCCTTCTTCCATGTCCTTACCTCAAACCCCACACACAAGTCCTTGTTATCACATGGGCTGCTAATACAAACAACTCGTTGTCAGCCACTAATAGCAGTTATGGCCCCCATTAGAGTCATAGAGTCCTACAGCACGGAGACAGGCCCTTCAGCCCAAACTGGTCCATGCCCACCAAAATGTCCATCCATGCTAACCCCATTTCTCTGCACTTGGCCCATATCCTCCTAAACCTTTCCTATCCATGTATTTGTCCAAATGCCTTTTAAATGTTGTTAATGTACCTGCCTCAATCACTTCAGCTGACAGCTCATTGCATATGCGTACCACCCTAAATGTAAAACAGTTGTCCCTCAGGTTCCCATGTATTCTTTCCCCTCTTACGTTAAACTGATGCCCTCTAGTCCTTGATTCCCCAACCCTGGGAAAAAGATTGAATGCATTCACTCTATCCCGCCTCTCATAATCTTATATACTTCTATAAGATCCCCCCTCCGTCTCCTACGCTGTAAAGAAAAAAGTCCTAGCTTGTCCAACCTCTCCCTATAACTCAGTCCCTTGAGTCCTGGCAACATCCTTGTAAATTTCTTCTGCATTCTTTACACTTTAATAAAATCCTTCCTATAGCAAGATGACCAAAACGGAACATAATATTCCAAGTGCGGCCTCACCACCGTCCTGTACACTGCAACATAACTTCCCAACCTCTCTACTCAATGCCCTGACTGATGAAGGCCAGTGTGCCAAAAATGTCCTTCACTGCCCTGTCTACCTGTGACTCCACTTTCAGAGAACCGTGTGCCTGAACTCCAACGTCCCTCTGTTCCACTCCACTCCTTAAGGTCCTACCGTTCATCATGAAACTCCTACCTTGATTTGACTTTCCAAAATACAACACCTCACACTTATCTATATTAAACTCCACTCACCATTTCTCGGCCTACTTCCCGAGCTGATCAAGATTCTGCTGCAATTTCTGATAACCTTCCTCACTGTCCACAATACCGTCTGTTTTAGTCTCATCCGCAAACTTATTAATCATGCCTTGTACATTCTCATCCAAATCATTGATATAGAGAATGATCAGCAATGGGCCCAGCACCGACCCCTGACACATGCCACTAGTCACAGGCCTCCAGCCCGACAAGCATCCTTCCACTATTACTCTCTGCTTCCTACCATCAAGCCAATTGTGTATCAGCTCTCCCTGGATTCCATGCGATCTAATCTTCCAGAGCAGCCTACTATGTGGAATCTTATCAAAGGCCTTACTGAAATCCATACAGACTACATCTACCGCCCTGCCCTCATCAACCTTCCTGGTCACTTCATCAAAGAACTCTAATAAATTTGTCAGGCATGATCTCCCATGCATGAAGCCATGTTGACTATTCCTAATCAAACCCTGTCTTTCTAAATGCATGTATATCTTACTCCTCAGAATCTTCTCAAGTAACTTACCTACCACAGATGTTAATCTCACTGGTCTATAATTCCCAGGTTTTTTCTCTGCAACCCTTCTTGAATAAGGCACAACATTCACTACCCTCCAGTCTTCCAGCACCTCTGCAAATATATCAGCGAGGGCCCCCGCAATTTCTTCTCTAGCCTGCTGCAAGGTTCTTGGATATATCTGATCAGGCCAGGAGATTTATTCACCTTCATACATTCTAATACTTCCAATACCACCTCTACTGTGAGATGGGCAGTCCCCAAGATTAGCAGTTATTCATCTCCTAGGCTGACCTTTATCCATTCCTTTATATGGTCAAATGTATTTCTCTCTCTCTGGGCTCCATCCCCACCTACCATTTACTCCTTTTCCCTCCCCCTACCCTTTCTTTAGCATATATACCAAACTTTTCCCAGCTGCAGTCAGTTCTAAAGAAGGGTCACTGGACTCAAAATGTCAGTTCTACTTTTTCTCCACATATGCTGCCAGATCTGCTGAGTTTTTCCAGTAATTTCTGTTTTTGTTTCTGATTTCCAGCATCCGCAGTTCTTTTCTTTTTTGCTAGTTCACAGATCCACTTTTCTGCATGACCCTTGATTTCCTTACTGATTAAAAATCTGTCTCAGTTTTGAATACGGTTGATGTGCCAGTCTCAACAGCCCTCTGTGGTAAAGAATTCCACAGATTCACTAGCCTCTGAAAGAAGGAATTCTCTTCAACTCAAATTGGCAACCCTTTACTCTGATTTGGCGCCTGTGAGACTTCTGTTTAATATGAGGTCAACACATTTTGAAGTCAATGGGAACTCTGAGGGTACATTGCAGCATCTTCCAGATCAGCAACAGGGGCAGAACTCCAGCACCAACTGTCTTCTATACAGCCACCTACAGGTGGGTAGGTCAGCCATGGCATCAAGACCTTGGATCTGAAGGTCACACTCACATGCAATTAATCAACTGTCTCCCATTCTCAGTTATCTGCTAAGTGCAGTTGGATCCCAAGGGGAAAGTGTTTCACTCCAAGGAAGCAAAACTCTCTGTACAACACTCTGTGGGCAAAGGGTCAGTTTCCTCAAGCTCTCTGAGTAACTGTGCCTCAAGGTGTTTGCATACCTCTGCTACCTCTTTAATGAAGACCACAATCCAGAGCAAGAGGTAGGCAACAATTACAGGTGCTTTCAAGGTGACCACAGCACTCAATTTGGTTGTATTTGCATCTTTCCAGGGCTCAGTTGCTGTCAGGTAGGATGTTGTGATCTGCAACAGATTACTTCATCAGCTAGGCCACCGATGCCTTTTTATCTTGGCTTCCAACTATATTCATTTTGAGGTGGATGATGCTAGGCAACCCCAGAGGCCTGTCTGCTCTACTGTGTTTCCAGAAGGTCCAGAAAGTTATAGGCACACTCGTGGCAAGGAAATGCCATCAAATCAACTGGGTTTTTGTTTTGTTAATGGAAGTGATTCCAGTCTCTTAATGTGCAGCTGGTATGTGATGACTGCAACTGCGTGCATCAGATATCTGGGGAGCTACCATCACTTGCTCATCTTTTGGCTACCTCACATTCCCAAGGTCTTCTCTCAGTCATATAGCTTCAGTTTTCATTCCTGGAGGACGAAGGATTCCCAATCTAGACCTGGCTGGTGACCTCAGTGAAGCACCTGACTACAAAGGCACCAGGGAGGTAAAACCAGAGCGATCTTAAGATGAGGATCTCAACTGAGCAAGCCGTTGATATGAGCTAGA